ACCTCGTGGAATTCCAGTAAGATATCTTTAATAATTTCTAAGTTACAACGGTTCAAAACTTAATCTAACAATTGGCCAATTTTGGTGTTACATACTGTATATATATATATATACAGTGACTCCTCGCTAATTCGCGGTTCTACTATCGCGGTTTCACGACTTTGCGGATTTTTAAAATATATATATGGAAAATATATCGCGGGAGTTTCTGGAAAATTCTAGAAAACTCGCGATATATGAACACCTAAAATTTTTCATTAAACCCATTAAAATATTAATAATAAATATTATTTCTTGGTCTAGGAACAACAAAACAAGCATAAAATAGCAATAGAAAGAGCACCGCTGTCTGAAGAGACGTAAAATATAATTATCGGCTGCACAGTAGAAGTCATCATCAGATTCATCATCATATCTACTGCGCAGCAAATTCATCACCATCATCATTCAAATTCTACTTCAACATCTTTCGTGTTGAATACAGTAACAATCTTTATTTTTTTTAATCTAAAGTGTTATTGCTTAACAGTTGTCCTTGTTATTAATAGAGTACTGTAATCGGTGGGTTGTTAACAGTACAGGGATGGTTTTAAAAGTCCAAAAACACGTACTGTAAAAATGGCGTCCCTACTTCGCGGAAATTCAGTTATCGCAGCCGGTCTCAGAACTAATCCACCCCGATAAACGAAGGATCACTGTATATATATACATATGTGTGTGTGTGTCTGCATATATATATATATATATATATATATATATATATATATATATATATATATATATAGTGTTGTTTGTTAGCTTTTGGCCTTACTACCCATAATGCACCACTGACCTGCATATATAAATAGACGCTTCACTGTGAAATTAAACGCAGTAAATTCTAACATGAAAAGATATCGAGCAAAAATTGATTTATATTATATCAGGATTAATCAATGAATCCTAGATGTTTAATAAATACAAAGTGAGCGTATAAATTAAGCGCTTCATTGGCCTCAGTTTCAGTTAGGAATTCTTTATTTCCGCTTTATTGAATCTAAATACATTGTTTCAAGGCTTATTTTGGTTCATTGTATCTCACTAGTAGAACTTTCTAACAATTCCCTTCATCAGGTATGCATTGAACACAGATAGTATTCCCTACTCTCTCTCTCTCTCTCTCTCTCTCTCTCTCTTTCTCTCTACATATATATATATATATGTGTTTGTGTGTGTATGTGTATAAACATAAAAAATGTCTTAAATAATTATCAGACTTTGTCCATTTCATCTGTTTACATTTGGATACGCATCGAGCAGATATGAATGTACGTGAGAAAATCATGTAAAATTGTAGTTTAAAAAAGTAAAATCTACCTGGCTAACCGAAACGCTCCTCTGTGTCTCAATCGGTAAAAGCACGTCAGGTTATATGAGGGTTCTGTATAGGATACAGGTTCGATTCCTGTCGGAGGACGAATATTTTCCATGAAGATTTCTCGGACATTCAGGCCGGTAAATGTTGTTAATATTGTTTATTATAAACAGAGCATTTACTTAAATATTTGTATCTATAAAAAAGAATGTAATAACATAAAAAAGTCTTAAATAATTGTTGGATTTTGTCCATTTCATATATATATATGAAGTAGTTGAAACAGGAAAAATTAGCGATTATGACATTTCCGGATCCAAAGAACCTTTTAAACCAGAAGTCTTATGTCCTTGGCTGCATATTAGTGTATTTTTCTTATGCACATATGAGGCTTCTTCTTTTAATACATTTACGATAAACTTGCTTTTGTTCTTCTTCTTCTTTTCCTTGAGGTATCTGGTAGGCTAATATTTACCCAGATTCTGTAGACTACTTGTACCTTATCGAACTCCATGCTGCTTCTATTTTTATATCTAGAGATTCTTAAAAAAAATTCAAAGTAGGATGGCTATATTATCGGCCCTGACCTGGTATCTCGGCTTCAGTCACTTTCTCACCGTCCTAACGTAGCTTACATCTGCTTCTTCTATAAATATTTTTACGGTAATTATTTTGATGAGATTTCCACGTTGTCCCTCTATTTCACGAATTTAACCGCAGTACTAGATTGGCAGTTCGGTCTCATCATTTCAATATTTAAATTGTTAGTTAGAACCGTAAGTTCTCTGCCAATAGTACCTTCTCTCACACGTCTCGCTTGTGGACCTTTCTTCTGGTTTCCTACGTCAAGCAACGTCAAGCACATCGAGCCTGGTCAGTACCTAGATGGGTGACTGCTTAGGAATACCAGAAGCTGTAAGCTTGGATATGCAGGTGGTATAATGCATAATAGCTCAGAGTGCCGAGTTCCAATTCCGGTCGGGTTCATTATATTTACTTACGCGCAAATACCGTTGAGAAAAGTACGATTTCACCTCTTCCCCCTCCAGCTATGGGTTAATTAGTTAGACTTGTGTCACTAAAATCATTATTATCTCAAAAAATAAAATAAAATAAAAAATAAAATCGCGTACGAAATATTTACATGTCGGCATTAAATAACCCATAGAGGTGTTGATATGCCGCTAACTAAATGTAATCAACCGATCAAACTGATTTTCTGTCAAACACGATCTCCAAAAGTTTAAATGCAATGTCAATCGTCGTCATCTGTCAGTTTCTTCTTTTAGTGCCCTCTCCCTACACGCAAGCCACCAATCTGCCACTGAGTGGCATGTCATTAACGTTTACCACTAGTGGCCCGCTGTTGGACCGCTGGCGTGTTCGTCTCGGCAATGCTACCACTGGCGAACCGCTAGAGGTCCACCGGTAGCTCCCAGCAGATGGCTGCTGGCGTTGCCATCGGCGGCCTGCCAGCTGATCACTAGCAGCTTGCATGTAGGGTGTTTATTTCCTTTTCAGTATCTCTTTGCATCCGAGTGGCTTTATTGCCTTGCATGGGGTGAAATGAGGTAGAAGTTTCTGGTCTATCAGGGTTTTTTTTGTGCAAATACTGTAGGGTATCAGTACTTCTCTCCTGATGAACTTTGACCCTGAAATCCGAATGCAACCGACTAACAAAGGGATCTAAAACTATGATCTTTGGCAGTTCCGTTAGATTTTGGCTAGTCCGAACTAGGTCGGTCCGATAACTTTTTAGCACCATCTTCTTTTATAGGTAAATGGGGAGGGCGACTTAGATGTCTGCAAAGACGTTAATTTTCCTCTTTTTTTCATCTACTACAACTACTAGTAATCATCATTATTATTAATTTCACTAGTAGTATTATTATCACTATTATTATTATTATTATCAATATTATTATTCTTATTATCACTATTATTATTAATATTATTATTCTTATTATCACTATTATTATCATTATCAATATTATTATTATTATTTTATTATTATTTTATTATTATTATTATAATTATTATTATTATCACTATTATTATTATTATCACTATTATTATTATCAATATTATTATCATTATTATTATCACTAGTATCATTATTATCACTATTATTATCATTATCAATATTATTATTATTATCACTATTATTATTATTATCACTATTATTATTATCAATATTTATTATTATTATCACTATTATTATTATTTTTATTATTGACAAGCAAAGCATAATAACATTGTTTTTGTTCCATCAATTAATCTTTTTTTTTCTTTTAATTCAATTATCAGTCGTAAAATTCATAAGAAAACATCATTATTTTTTTCATTTTCTTCATTACCATATTTCGATATTTTGATCTTTAAATCCTGAAATTATTTACATCGCTTAAATTATTATTATTACTATTATTATTATTTGTAGTAACAGTAGGAGTACTTCTTACACTTGACCCCTTCCCCACTTCTTCTTTTCTTTTTCTTCTTCTCATTATTTGTAGTAGTAGTAGTAGTAGCAGTAGCAATATCATTATTTCTTCCGCCTTATCTTCTCTTGTTCTTCTTTCTTTCAATCCACGTATTCTCCAGTTATTTCTTCTTCATTCAACGTCTTTTTTCTTCCTTCCTTTCTTCCTCATTTTCTTTTTTCTATTTCCTCTTTCTTTCTTCCTTCCTGATTTTCTTCTTCTTCTTCTTCTTCTTCTTCTTCTTCTTCTTCTTCTTCTTCTTCTTTCGTTTCTTACTCCCTTCGATACTCATTTTTACTTTCTTCCTCTTCCCTTCTTTTTTCATCTTTACATTTTTATTCTTCTTCTTCCTTCCATCCTTCCTCATTTTCACTCTCTTCTTCTTCCTTCCTTACTCATTTTTATTTTCTTCTTCTTTTTTTTTCCTCACTTTCATTTTTTCTTCTTCTTCTTCTTCCATCCTTCCATCTTTCCTCATTTTCATTTTCTCCTTCTTCTTCTTCTTCTTCTTCTTCTCATTTTCACTTTTTTCTTCTTCTTCTTTCCTCATTTACACTTTCTTCTTTTTTTTCTTCTTTTTCTTCTTCTTCTTTTTCTTCTTCCTTCCTTTCTTCCTTCCTTCCTTACTTTCTCATTTTCACTTTCTTCTTCTTCTTCTTCTTCTTCTTCTTCTTTCCTTCCTTCCTTCATTACTTTCTCATTTTTACTTATTTCTTCTTCTTCTTTTCTCATTTTCACTATCTTCGTCTTTTACTTCTTCTTCTTCTTCTTCCTTCCTCATTTTCACTTTTTTCTTCTTCTTCTTCTTTCCTCAATTTCACTTCTTATTCTTCTTCCTTCCTTCCTTACTTTTTCATTTTCACTTTTCCTACTTCTTTCCTCATTTTCACTTTCTTCTTTTTCTTCTTCTTCTTCTTCTTCTTCTTCTTACTTCCTTCGTTCCTTCCTTGCTTCATTACTTTCTCATTTTCACTTATTTCTTCTTCTTTCCTCATTTTCACTATCTTCTTCTTTTTCTCCATCTTCTTCTTCTTCTTCTTCTTCTTCCTTCCTTCCTTCCTCATTTTCACTTTCTTCTTCTTCTTCTTCTTTCCTCATATTCACTCTTCTTCTTTTCTTCTTCTTCTTCTTTTCATTATTATTATTATTATTATTATTGGTGACGAGAAAATAAAATTTCATGAATATGTAGTAATGAATTTATTTTACGATTATTGACTCAATTCCAACTTGCCATTTTTCCATATTTTTCCATAAACAAACTCAATCCATTTATTCGTTTCTGGCAATTCTTTATTCATTATTATTTTTTTATTCACTCGGCTATTATTATCCTTATTAGTTTCTGCGTTTGCATTAAGGCCGGCCTGGCAGACAATAGACTATTTGATGCCAGTAACCACTTGTTTATTCATTTATTTATTGATATTTCTTCGCGAATCGCTCTTGAAAATGACCTTTCGGACCATCGACATCAACAGGCAACATCTAATTAAAGTCAACAGTTAACAGAATCTAGTAAAGGAACGCACGAAGGACACGCCATAACTGTGACAAGACAAAATACATGGCACACCATCGATACTGGCGGCACGACAATTTGCTCCTGTCTTAACAGCAAGTGTGAAATTGTCAGCTGATCTGAAGTGAAATGTTCAAAATTTTATTGTTAACTGGGGCAAGGAATGGCTTGTTAATTTTAACTCATCCAAAACGAAACCACTCTCATATAATCCTCTAAGAGAAACTCTTTCAACGTCCATTAGCATATGGCTGATGCTAACCTCCAGGAGATTGACGTATTACGCCTTCCTGGCCTACTTGGCATGAAGCGGAGAGAGCATATTGAATCAATTGCTAAGTCTTCAGCTAAGAAAGTTGGTTCCCTTTATCGCGATAGACAATTTCTCTCGCCATAATCTTACATATTTATATGTCTACCATTCATCCTTGCTTTGAAAATTGCTGCCACATCTGCTCTGGTGTTTCTGCTATATATTTAGAGATTCTTGATAAAATCCAAAGAAGAATCTATCTTACATATTTATAAGTCTACCCTTCATCCAGGCTTTGAATATTACTGCCTCATCTGGTCTGGTGCTTCTGCTATATATTTAGAGATTCTTGATAAAATCCAAAGAAGAATCTATCTTACATATTTATAAGTCTACCATTCATCCAGGCTTTGAATATTACTGCCTCATCTGGTCTGGTGCTTGCTATATATTTAGAGATTCTTGATAAAATCCAAAGAAGAATCTATCTTACATATTTATAAGTCTACCATTCATCCAGGCTTTGAATATTACTGCCTCATCTGGTCTGGTGCTTCTGCTATATATTTAGAGATTCTTGATAAAAATCCAAAGAAGAATCTATCTTACATATTTATAAGTCTACCATTCATCCAGGCTTTGAATAATACTGCCTCATCTGGTCTGGTGCTTCTGCTATATATTTAGAGATTCTTGATAAAATCCAAAGAAGAATCTATCTTACATATTTATAAGTCTACCATTCATCCAGGCTTTGAATATTACTGCCTCATCTGGTCTGGTGCTTCTGCTATATATTTAGAGATTCTTGATAAAATCCAAAGAAGAATCTATCTTACATATTTATAAGTCTACCCTTCATCCAGGCTTTGAATATTACTGCCTCATCTGGTCTGGTGCTTCTGCTATATATTTAGATTCTTGATAAAATCCAAAGAAGAATCTATCTTACATATTTATAAGTCTACCCTTCAACCAGGCTTTGAATATTACTGCCTCATCTGGTCTGGTGCTTCTGCTATATATTTAGAGATTCTTGATAAAATCCAAAGAAGAATCTATCTTACATATTATAAGTCTACCATTCATCCAGGCTTTGAATATTACTGCCTCATCTGGTCTGGTGCTTCTGCTATATATTTAGAGATTCTTGATAAAATCCAAAAGAAGAATCTATCTTACATATTTATAAGTCTACCATTCATCCAGGCTTTGAATATTACTGCCTCATCTGGTCTGGTGCTTCTGCTATATATTTAGAGATTCTTGATAAAATCCAAAAGAAGAATCTATCTTACATATTTATAAGTCTACCATTCATCCAGGCTTTGAATATTACTGCCTCATCTGGTCTGGTGCTTCTGCTATATATTTAGAGATTCTTGATAAAATCCAAAGAAGAATCTATCTTACATATTTATAAGTCTACCATTCATCCAGGCTTTGAATATTACTGCCTCATCTGGTCTGGTGCTTCTGCTATATATTTAGAGATTCTTGATAAAATCCAAAGAAGAATCTATCTTACATATTTATAAGTCTACCATTCATCCAGGCTTTGAATATTACTGCCTCATCTGGTCTGGTGCTTCTGCTATATATTTTAGAGATTCTTGATAAAATCCAAGAAGAATCTATCTTACATATTTATAAGTCTACCCTTCATCCAGGCTTTGAATATTACTGCCTCATCTGGTCTGGTGCTTCTGCTATATATTTAGAGATTCTTGATAAAATCCAAAGAAGAATCTATCTTACATATTTATAAGTCTACCCTTCATCCAGGCTTTGAATATTACTGCCTCATCTGGTCTGGTGCTTCTGCTATATATTTAGAGATTCTTGATAAAATCCAAAGAAGAATCTATCTTACATATTTAGAAGTCTACCATTCATCCAGGCTTTGAATATTGCTGCCACATCTGGTCTGGTGCTTCTGCTATATATTTAGAGATTCTTGATAAAATCCAAAGAAGAATCTATCTTACATATTTATAAGTCTACCATTCATCCAGGCTTTGAATATTGCTGCCACATCTGGTCTTGTGCTTCTGCGATATATTTAGAGATTCTTGATAAAATCCAAAGAAGACTCTATCTTACACATTTATAAGTCTACCATTCTTCGTTGCTTTGAATATTGATACCACATCTGGTCTGGTGCTTCTGCTATATAGAGATTCTTGATAAAATCCAAAGAATCTATCTTACATATTTATAATTCTACCATTCATCCTTGCTTTGAATATTGCTGCCACATCTGGTCAGTAACCCTTTGCATCCTAGTAGCTTTATTGCCTTTGATCTTCAAATATTTAAATGTAATGTCAATCGTTATCTTCTGTCTTCTTAATTCCAATTCTTTTATTGTCATCTCTTATTAATAGTAGTTTTTCTCATATTCTCTAACACTCAGTAACCTCTTGCGACTTAGTGGTTTTATTGCCTCTCTTGGTGTACAATAATAAAATCAATTAATACACGTAAAATTATATGATTTAACGCATGTTTAATCTAATAATATTTCTACTACGAATGTACTCCGTCCGAGACTTGGGCAATAATTATTATTAAATTAGATTCGTTCATGGGCATGTGTAATCATCTGAAATATTTTCTCATTTTACCAAAGACAACCAGGAAAAATATTACTCTGCAATAACCGAAATTTATATGTATATCCCCCACCGGACATATACATAATTCCATCAATAAGAATAGAACATATTATCTATATATATATATATATATATATATATATATATATATATATATATATATATACTATATTTTTATGTGATAAAGTGCTCAATATCAGAGCGTGTGTAAATATAAATGTAAACATTGAAGTCTTAGAGGCGACAGGCTGTTTCATGCTAAACGAAATCGTCAAGCCACGAGTGTTGTTTTTTTCTTTCTAGGCTATTTATATATACGGGTCAGTGGTGCGTTGTGGGTATTCTATCTTGGCGCTTATTTTGACGGAAATCGTTTATTTTTTTATTTGGGTTAGATTATTTTGCTTGTTTTTATTTATTTTTATTTCCTATCTTATATATTTATATATTTATTTTTATATTAACCGGTGTTTTATTAACGTATAAAAATTTGTTTGTATCGCTTGTTTAATAGTTTTGTTTTGGTTTGGGAAGATAAAGTTATTTACTCAATTTTAGGGTTGATTGGTGTAGTTTATCCTAACTATTATTTTGGCGGGAGCAGTTTTTAATACGTTTATTACTTCATTTATTTATTTGAACTGGTTATTGTTACTTGTTTTTTCTAACGGTTAATTTATCGAGATCGGTTTGTTAGTTTATTTATTTAATTATTTGGATTAATTTAGATTAATTTATTTTACTTTTTTATTATTTATTTATTATACTGTATATTTTTATTTACTCTTTCCGGTTTTCGTTTTTTACGTAACGTAGTATGTTTTTTTATCGTTATCGTTTGTTCGATTTTTAGTTTGATTTTTATAGTCTAACTAATATTTTGGTCATAATGGTTTGTTAATTTGTTTATTATTTACTTTATTTATTTGGGTTCATTGATTTGGTTGTTTATTTTTTTATTTATTTATTTTATTTCCTTCGTGGCCTGACGATTGCGTCTAGCATGAAACAGCCTGTCGCCTCTAATTGTTGACTTCAATGTTCACTTTTATATATATATATATATATATATATATATATATATATATATATATATATATATATATATTAAAAATAGGAAAGAACAATGAGATTTCTAATTCAGAGTTCTTAGCATTTATTTAAAAAAAAAACAGTGCTTGATAATATTATAATTGTTTTTTTTTTAATATATAATCATCGCAACACGGGAATTTCCATGTTTCAAAACTGAAGATTAAATCCAAATTCAATCGTAAAAATTAGACTTAAAATACAAAGTTCCGTTCCATTATCAAGCGATGCCAAGAATAACTTTTTAGAAATTGTTTTATTTAATTTATAAGTCCAGACAAATTTGATATTTTGAGATGTTGGGGTTAAGGAAAATTCAATCTTTTTTTTATTTTAGGGGTGTTAAATTTAACTTATTTAGAAAACTCATGTATCTAATATATTGTAGCTATCAAGTCAAGGTCGAAGCTGGGGTAGATGTCTATTGACTCAAAATTCTTTTTTTCAAGTAGAAATTTGTCGTAGTGTGTATGTTCCAACACATCGTCTGGGTTTCAATATCAATACATTTGGCATTTTTATTTTTTATTTTATTTAATTTTTCTTTTTATATAAATTTCGATTACAATTTTTTCAAAAGGGGCGTTCAAATATTTATTTAGTCGTATTTTTAATATTTATAATTTTATTCGTACCGACATGAGATATTATATTTAATTTATTTACTGAGTACATATA